AGCTGCACAAACGAACATAGGGACGGTTTCGAACTAATTGACAGCGTATGGTATTGGGTGGGATGTCAATACTCGTTACGTAATTTTCAAGCCCACTTTTCTCAAGCACTTTTTAACGGTGTGACTTACTCTATTTGATATGAAGGGTAACTTAAAGAGAATCTCACTTACGTCCGAAATATTATTTTGGGAAACTACCCAACGTTTTCCTCTAACCAGGGTGGCTTCTACTTCGTAGCCATTGGAAACAGTAATTTTTCGCGCCCACTTTTGCGATTCCTTCCTTTCCTCTTCTTCTGTACACACATTTCAGCCGTAGGGTACATGTTTTTAATAAGTGCTTTTTTCATATGTGAAGGATGAGAGGAGAGGTAGGGAACCAGAATGTTTTTACTACTTGGCTTGCGATACTATTTTGTTATATAGCCACATTCTGAGAGCTTTATTTGGATGTTTAAGATTGGAAACCAGTTTTTGGTAGGTTTTTCTCGTGTAAACTTTATATACTCTGATTGTCGGTTTAACAATTCAAAGCACTCATCCATCTGTTCTTGTGTGGAACAGACAATGAAGCGGTCGTCTATGTATCGACAGTAGAGTAAGGGTCGGAGATCGAAAACTGGAGCTTCCACCTTAGATATGAAAGCGATGACAAGGCTTGGTGCTAAACGCTGCCCCATCGCCAACCCTCTAATTTCTGTAAAATATTTTCCAGACCACCTAAAGATTGAACAACTAAGGCACTGTTTTAAGAGGGCCATTAGTTGCGCAGTCGACAAGCCGTGCATTTTTATTTTCTTTTCATGCTCTACGTGCAACTCCAGAATAGCTTGCATTGCGGAGTCATTGGACACGTTGGTATAAAGTGAGCTAAGAACGAATGACTCCGTTATATGCGTGCTAATCGGTTGTGCGCTCCGTAAGTGGTGTAGAGATATTTTGGGGTTAGTTAGATGGATTGGAATAAATTTTAGCAGCTGAGTAAGGATAACGTTTAGGAACCACGTCATTCTACTCCTTGGCCGGCCTATACAACTAAAGATAGGTCTAACTTTGCATGATGATGGGTTTGTTGACGTAATATCATCAATTGGAGTAAGCTCATCTGTTTTAATAAGTGAAGGACAGGGCAATTCGGATGTTTGTTTTTAATTCGAGAAATAACTGAAGACTCCAAACCCGCTGCCTTTTCCGTGCTGACCCATTCTTGATTTAGTTTTCGGTATTGATTTCTGTATTCTTTTTCAGAGGAAGTTCGATACAGAAGAACATCATTGAGGTGCCCTTCTGCTATTCTAATATCCAACTGACTAGGAGGAACTAGAAATTCTCCATCTTTATCACTAATAGAAGGTCTAACAGATTTTGAATTCGAAAGTTCTCTAACCTGGCGCATACCAGATTTTTATTGGTGAGTGAGGTTGGAGCTTATTTTTCTTTCTTGGTAGTGATTAAGTATGCGGGAATTTCGTCCGAGAAAAAACGAAACGTAGGATACAAGATACCTCGGCGACCTCGCGTTCCTTGGAGCACGGACGCATTTTGTGCAAAGTAGCTTCATACTCCGGAAGGAAAAGCCGTAGCATTAGTAAAGATCTAAGATATAAATAAACGCTAAACTAATCAAGAAATACTCACTGTGCTGTTAAGAGTAGGGGTGCTCGCGTGTTGTTCAGGTGGGGCGCCGAGCGACACCTACCCAGGTGAAAAAATCTGCTTGAAATAAGGCGCCAGATCATGTGTGATAGTGAGGGTTGGGTGCACAGTGCATATTCCATTTCTTCTTTGTTTTAGCTTATCTGGTTTAGCTCCTAGTCTTCAGATCTACATTCTTGCACGACGACCAACGGTTAAGTGTTGGGTTGGATGAGGCTGCGAGGCTGGAAAAATGTGGTGGTTTCGAGACTCCAATAACTTATATCAGGCGGGACTGTACTTGATGAATTAGTGTAAGAAAGATTTCCTAAGTAGTTTCGATGTTGCTCAACAGCTATCACAAATGTAATTCAAATGCAACAACTACAGCTACCGTGGGAGAAATTTAAGCTCTATGTTAGAATTGTAGATCGTATGTGGTTATAGGTAAGAAGGGATTGCTGGGAATGAGAATAGATATTTTTGCGAAAATACATTTTTCAAGCTTTTGTGGGCAAGTATCTTAAAATTTTTATAAGAAGCGTTTATTATATGTAAACATTGGAAGAGTTATGCAAAAAGGGTCATTTCTTTGCAAATTATTTTAACGCTGCTAAATGTAGAATTTTGAGAAGAAGTGCAGCAAAAGAAATAATTTGAGTCAATACTTTGCCAAACCAGCAAGATTTTGTGAAGACATGGGCTTAGGACATGCATTCTTTTCAGGGAACTACTCTACACGTTAAGGAATCCGCAACCTATCTACGCTTTCACTTGGCACACATTACAAATACCTCTATAAAAGCTTACCCGAAAAGTGGTACATTGTGAAACAAATGTCTCTTGGTTAAAGGCCTGCAAAACAGGCCGTAAAAATGTTGTGAGAGTTGCGAATGCGTTTTTGTTTCCAAAGCTGTAATTTGCTCACTGCTAAATGTGCACTTTGCGGACGTTTGGGTGTAACTGAATTCTACATATAAGTTGATAGAACTTTTCTCCGTGATATGTCATCTTATCGTGGACATAAGGTGTCCTCACTTCTAAAGTTAGCTCTGTAAGCATGATCAGATCTGTTGTGGAGTTTGCTGGACGAGTTAACTGGTCCAAGCGTAAAACGTAGTTTGCTTCTCGCTAATACTGCGCTGTGATAGCAGCCATCCACGAACCAGACCTAGCACAAGCTATCGATTGACAGCGAATATTCTGGCAGAGAAGTTCACTGCAGCAAAATGAGCCAAGGATAAATGCACGCATTGAAATCAAGATGCACAGCCCGGAGTGTGCAACAGCATACACATTTATATCAATGAGCATGGTCATAAAAGGGTTTTACGATACGCCTAACTGTTCCGCCGTTTGCCAAACAACATGCATGTCAGTTTTTCATTTAAGGCAAATTTCACCTTCTGATAGGAAAAATAAAGACCAAGCTAACGGCCGCTGTCTATCCCTTCGGTATGGGCCGCTTATTCCATTTCATCAAGCTTTGTTAGTGATTGATGAATGCCTATTTGGCCTGTACAGCAATCTGCGGCAGTCTATATATTTATCAAGGTGGTTTGCTATTCGTCTAGAAACGGATGGAAGGCTCAGTGAGCTTGCCACGGCTACGAACCAAAGCCCACATGTTCATTGCAGGGCAATTCTAACAATTGCGCAACGAGCCCACTCTCATCACGTCCTGTTTTTTGATAGCTAACGTATTAATTATGTGTTAATGAAGACTTACTGTGATTTTCTTCCTCAGATGCCGATGTCCAATTTTATCGGATCTATACGCTGTGGGTTTTCAGCGCCAGTAATTGAACTTCGGGGGAGAGCAACGTTTAGGAAACATATCTATCGTTTATGATTTGATATAATTTGGAGTAAGAAAGATGTGGCAGTTAAAGAAATCTCTTTTGGACTGCTGGATGATTTTCTCACTTGCCCTTTTGGTAACAGCGAGTGCACCACGCTATTCTAATGGACGACATTCATGATTTTGTGTTTTGCGAAATAACAAGGGGTATCGCAGCACTCTGAAACTCCTGTGCCCCCAGGGAGATCTGATGTTCCTACTTTATCTTTTCGGCTTCGTTTTGTCGGTTGTGTGTGGAACATTGCGACCTGGAGCCCGACCTAAAGATTGAATGTACAAGCTTGAATGATGAAACATTGTTGTATTAGCTCGAGTCTTTCACTTCATAAACAAACAACCTTTCGTGACGTAAAGCACTGCTTTTTTAGTACTATCAAACATGTCGGAGAAGCATTTCCTACCCGTCAATAATGCTGTACACAACGGCTCCACTCTTAAAGCCGACCAATGACGGACAGATTCCAATTAATGACGATTTTGGGGCTTTCTTTTTATTCAATTCAAATATTTCGAATCATTGCCCTTTTGTGAACAAAGCAGCTCTGAGCCGAAGAGGTGCAAGGCATCTGGTCACATCGCTTAAGCAAAAGCATCAGTCATCATCAGCATCAGCATCATCAGCTAAACTAGAAATGTGATGCGGGTTTTCCGATCCTTGGTTAGAGACCATCGGAGTAAAGTTATAGTTTCACTGTATAGATATACACATATATAGTAAGCACTTTTTATACAAATAGTGGGTGCGTAGATTGCTTAAAACAAGCTCCTTCCACGATTACCTAATTTTAAGGAACAAGAAAAATTCTGCCAAACATGAGCACTCTAACGCAACAATTTTAAACGAAATCGGGAACAACCGCATGCATTATTTTCCTTGTTCTCTTCACACCTATTTGGAAAGAATCTTTATTTTTTTTCTTTTTGAGCTAACTATTCGAAAAAGTTTGATGCTATTTAAACAGTTATTACAATCGAAAAGCTTTCGTAACTAATCGATGTAACGCTAAGTGAAGGCCTCCTGCCTAACTCCGCGTCTGCTAAATATGATCACAGACAAGCGATTGGAGCTGGAGACAATGGGACCTCCGCTGCCAATCACCGAGCAAAAACTGAAAAACATTGCGAATTGTGCTAGCAACTACAGTTAACAAATATTGACTATTGCTGGTAGTCCGTCAGCTTCTGATCTTTCTGAGCCTTAACCTCGACCCCTCCATGGACACATGTAGGAACATAGCCAGGACAGAAAGACTTCATATTCACCTTGACTCTCCTTTCTTGAGGTTTCTGAACGCAGTCATATTTTTTCTCCACCGATAGTAATACTTAATACAATCCCACCCTGATGACTTAATTGCAAAAATTGAACTGACCTCTGAGAGTGCTTCCAAAAATTAGGCTGTAGACAAGCGATCGTTTCTTGCTCGTTGCCTCGAGATCTTCTCCACATCCTGGTGGCTGGAATAAAGTCAGTCTTCTTGTCTAAATTATATTATGCCATTTTCTACTCGTCGAGCACACAATGCTCGTCATAATGCATAACACTGCCGTAGTCGTATGTTAGTCCATTCACCTCGACGTACGTCGGAATCACTTTGGCGAAGTAGTCGAGTAAAATCGGCTAAATGTGTGGTATAAGTACTCCAAAATAAAACAGCTTACATTATTTTCAAATAGACCCACGTTTATATTGCGCATAACGAGTTGAATATAACTATCGCGATCAAATCGTTTCATTGTGTGGTGAAGTCCAAGGGTATGACCAACCTCGTGCACAGAACACCGTTCCTATAGCGTGTAACGGAAATGTCATAACCAACCAAAAAACGTTGAAGAAGCGTATTCGGCTTCTAAAAATATTATTTTCAATGCTCTATTCCACCTGGCAACCTTTATCGAGTGATAGAAACTGACCCCCGCGGAGTCTCCTGCCACCCGAGCAACACCCATTTTTTCGACCACGATAATCTTGTTCTGAGTTGCTCTCATAGGATGATTCAATGTTTTTCATCAATAAGCAGACACGAGGTTGTTAATATAGAATTTATTAGAACACAATTGCTGACGTTTCGGCGGTTTCGCCTTCTTCAGAGCCTGGAAAGGTCAAATTGAGATGTGATCTACTCAGCCAAACACTTTCACAACCCTAGCAGATAAAACTTGACAATTCGATTTGCATTCGCATAAGAAACAGCTTTATTCAAACACCTACCGTTTATTTGTTGTAAGTATTTAAGTTAGTTGGTGGATAGCCGCCGCACAGAGTAATACATGGTCGATAACTGTGTCCATGTCAGGTCATTGGATCAGCCTGGGGTTTGGCGCCAGGTCACGCGTGATGACAAGACACTCCTCCTTGCGGTTCATTTTTAAATTTTTGGCACTGATCCGAAATGCTTCAAGAGTTTTACGCGCTGATGTTTTCGATTCCTGCGTAAGGATAGTGACTCCTACCTCAAAATCTTCTCCGTTGTGTTCTTGCATCCTATGCGCGCCTAGTGGAGTATTTTGTTTTAGTTTAGATTTACCGACTAGGTGTTCTTTTATGCGGACGCAGAGCGGTCTACCCGTTTCGCCGACATATTCGTGCCCGCACGATTAACAAGAGATCAGGTAGACTGTACTCGAACTCATGCGATCACCTTCTCTACCGTTAAGGCAAGTTGGGCAGTTTTTCGTTGTACATAGACGGTCATATAGGCGGCTGTGAACTAGCTGGCGTCTTAGAGTGTCCGGTGGTATTTCTATCTCTTACGGAATTCTGTAAGCCGGCCCTTATTTAGCAATGCTTTATAGTTGCACTTATTTCGTTTGAAAAGAACGAAGCCTTGTTTTCGCTAGAATTGTCGCTCTGGGGCATGGGATTTCCTCGAATGCCTATCCTGAGAAGCTACAGTTTCGTAACCATTTGAAATGGCTATTTGCCGCGCCAGTTTCGAGGATTCTTCCCTCTGCTCTCTACCTGTGCACACGCTAGCGGCGGTTCGAAACATATTTCTTATAAGCGCTCTTTTAGTGTGTGAGGGGTGAGAGGAGCGGTAGTGAACCACTATATTCTTACTGCTTGGCTTTCGATACCATTTTGTGTTGTAGCCGTTCTCGGATAGGTTAATTGATAGGTCAAATCGAATTGTCAAGTTTTATCTGCTAGGGTTGTGAAAGTGTTTGGCTGAGTAGATCACATCTCAATTTGACCTTTCCATGCTCTGAAGAAGGCGAAACCGCCGAAACGTCAGCAATTGTGTTCTAATAAATTCTATATTAACAACCTCGTGTCTGCTTATTGATGAAAAACATTGAATTATCAATTAATGCCGAGGTTAACAGAAAGTCGGTCTTGGGAATTCTCATAGGATGTTTTTACCGCAAAACTCTGTGACGGTCTAAATTCTTACCTGCTGCCTACTAAAGTTTTTATGGCATGGTATTAGGTAAAATACAATCATATTGACGCTGCGATGTTTGGAAGACTCTTGGTGACGACATTTTTATGCAGCCCAAGAATCTTTCTATACTGAGTAGGTGTTCCTTGATTTTTCAGAGCCTCCATGACTGCTTAAATTACAACTGAGTCAAAAGCCTTCTTTAAATAGATGAAAATGAAACAAAGTGGTATTTTGCACTCTCGCGAAACTTCGATGTAAAAAGTCACAATAGGCATTAAATAAAAGGTTAACATTGTGAGCAAAATGCTTTGGACCGAAGACTCCCATGGAGACTCCATTCGTCGGCAAAATTTTCAGGCATAAGAGAAACATCGATGAAAGAGCTCAAATAGTCTACGCATCAACGAAAGGAAATGAAATAGTGGTCGAAGGTTCCGTTTTTTCTTCATAACCTTCTCTCGAAATGTTAGGTGCAACTTCAGAAAAAAGCGTAGCAAGTTCGATTAAGTGCGATCAAGATTTAAAAACGTCGATGATTGAAAAAACATGGAATTGGACAAAGTATTTTCGAAAGTGACATTTGGCTGGCGGAGTGATTTCCATGGATTTTACTTAAGTGTAGGTGTTTCAAAGCATTTTTGCCGTGGTGTTCAAGAGACAATGCAATAAAATTGTAAACGAATTCTTTGCTGTGGTCACTCAAAGACACAGGTGTTACAATGATTTGTTGATAAAAGCATTGCATGGGGAGCAGCCACTGTTCTTTTAATACACCAGATTGGTAATCTGTGAACTATTACTTTTTCCTTGTATTTCTATTTTTGCTTACTATTAGTTTTTTTAGTTTAACTTGCTTAATATATCTATTAATTTTTAATACATCTGGATACTTAATTAGCCGGAATGAGCAGCTCAGATCTACGAAACTTATCCTGTGTTCTGGTTTCAGGTGAATATGCATCGATAGCGAACCACAGGCTGTTTCTTGTCTAACTTACATTGTGCCATTTCCTACCCGTCGATCACACAATGCACCGCTGTAGCCTCCGGGTCAAATGCATTTGGAGCGGTTTCGAGGGTGAGGAAATCCTTCATTCAAACACTAGGCAGGTGTCGACTTGTTACAGCTCGCTAAAGGGGTATAATTTTTTCAGTTACACAGAGTTTTAAGACAAGATTTTGGGAATCCCGACCATTGCATCCATAGCGTTCAATAATCACAAAAATATCGGAAAAGGAAATTAATGGAGATCCCATAGTCTTTTCATAAAAGGGATTTGTTGCAATTATTGTAGTCATGTTGTCAGCAGAATAACTAAAGAATACAATACAAGCGAAATCGATAAAAAATTTCAAGAGCCCTAGTCCAGCCCTAGTGAGTCCATACACCTCGGCGAATGTCGGATGCACTTTTGTGAAATCGCGGAGGAAAGACGACTAAATGTGTGGCATAAGTACTCCGAAATAAAACAGCTTGCATTATTTTCACATGGACCCACTTTTATATTGCTCGTGACGATTTGAATATAAGTGTCGCGATCAAATCGTTTCATTATGTGAAGAAGTCCAAGGGCATGACCAATCTCGTGTACAGCATTCCTTTCCTAAAACGTGTAACGGATCTCCCAGTTGCACTTCGCGGCCCGACAACCAGGAACATCTACCAGCCACGATGAAACGGTGCCCGTTAGGAAACAGGTTGCTTCAGTTGTTTCCGGTTTAAAAAAATAATCGTATAACGATGCATAACTTCGTATTTACTGCTTATTATTTCTCACGGCGGGGTCTGACATAAAACGTTAAAGATGCGTTTTGCGCTTTTATCTGAAAAGATGCAAGTACCAAGTGCTCATAGTGGTTCATAAAGGCCTTAATTCTGCAAAGGCAGCGAAATAACGTTTCAAATGAATAACTGCCACTGAGAGTGCTAATGACAGAAGTGTTGAAAATGTGAATACCATTTCGAACCGTCTTTCTTTTTTATTTGCAACTAAGTGAATTTGCCCACCTGCGATGCAAACAGTGTTTTGTTGGCAACAATTTTTTGTGACGTGTGATTATTCATCGGATTACATCTGGTAATTGTGCGTGTACATCTGGTTGTTCTGCGTGTACGTCTGGTTATTCTGTGTATGACCAGATGAATAATCACACATCACAAGAAATTGCTACCAACAAAACACTGTTTGCATCGCAGGTGGACAAATTCATTTAGCAAAATAAAAGTGAAAGACGGTTCGGAATGGTATTCACATTTTCAACACTTCTGTCATTAGCACTGTCAGTGGCAGTTATTCATTTGAAACGTTATTTCACTGCCTTTGCAGAATTAAGCCCTTTATGAACTAATGTGATCACTTGGTGTCAGCATCTTTTCAGATAAAAACGCAAAACGATCCTATTCTCAAACTGGAAACACCTGAAGCAACCCGCTTCGCAACGGTTTATGGCTTCATCATAGCTGTGAGATGTCCCTGGGTGTCGGGCCGCGAAGTACAACTGGAGCATTCGTTCTCCTGACAGGGTTACCCATGTTGAGGAGTCTGGTGTTCCTGTCAGTAAGCCCAGCTAAGAGTAAGCCAATATCAGAATCCACCATCGTGCTGGTATCAAAGTCGCGTGGTGGCAGATCTTCCTCCGATCCCTAAAGGCGGCTACTGACCGTGGTGGTGAAGACCTAGGGCAGACTTTGGCCAGGCAGATCTTGAGATACCAGGAGTAGTTGTTATAAACGCATAAATTGATCAAAGCCACATCAGTCAAACATTCCCGGAGAAACCGTAACAATAACCAAAATTACGGCAGGATATTTGCACAACCTGCACTACAGGCGAAATTCGAACATGCGATTATTTCTTCCGTTATTCAGCTGTTATTCACTGCACTACCAAACCCATGCTTTGCCCTTCTCTCAGTCATTTTTCTATTTAACGGTGCCATCAGCATGAATGAGATGGCTGTGGGGAAGGCAATGCAAGGCTGTCAGTGGTGCCTATGGTTGAGGCTTCAGAAAAGGTAGTCGAGGGTTCGAATCTGGCCAAGGGTCCAAGTTTCGCAAATATCTCAGCGTTTTTTATGGTTTATGTCAGACCCAGCCGTGAAAAATAATAAGCTGTAAATAAGAAGTTATGCATCGCAATGACAATTCCAAATAAACAAGGATAATGTAGTGAGTTTAAGGCGCTCACAATTTGCCGTGAGTTTTTCTGTCATCGAATTCATTCAATTCAAAATATTTGCAGATGAGAACATATCAGCTGCTCACCGCAGTTGCCGTGGTGACGTACTGTGAGATGGTAGATTCCGTCACCAAAACAAGAGATTTCTTCCATGGTCGTGAAGGTGACCAGGTGAATAAATAGCCCATCCTCATAACGCCTGTGTTACTAATGAATCATTTACTGCTTTAATAAGAACACTTTTAGATTAAAAATCGCTTCGGAGTTTCCACTTCTGGTGACAACTTTTTCGTCTTAAACGAAACACTGACGAATGAACTTGGATCGTCTGAAGAACAGCTGAACGTTGTTAGTGGAAACGAGAAGGTGCCGTTTCTAAACTCTCCACTTTTCACACCTTGCAATTTTAAGGATAACCTTAACAGGAAATGACGGCGAAGTCAAAGCACTACGACCCAAATTCAAATGATTTGATTCTTGGCAAAAATTCAAGAAAAGGCATTGGACGAGCTTTGATGCAAAATAATACTGTCTTTACAAAGTAATTTATAACATATAGCAAGCTTTGGCAAATCAAAACTTTATAGCAGATGGTGTTAAGCGTACAAGCAGGACAAATTGTCATAAAGAACGTGAGAGGAACTCGCGCAAAAAGGCATATAATTAAAGACTACGAAAATGAGAACAGAACTTGGCAGAACGGTGTTTTCTATACTTTCAACACATCAGGTTAGTTTCTGGAAAACTTATTTTTCCCTAATTAGTAAAATTTCCGAAGCTGTACTTAATCTGCACAAAATGACCAGTTTCCTAGGTTCAACACTTAACTACTCAGGCACTTTGATGGCCCTTGCCTTGAAGTCCTCGCCCATGCTCGCTTTTTGATTTGAGCATGGAGGACTGCGCAAATCTCAAACCGTGTTGTGGATGTTGTTCTTCATGTTCAATTCTATATGCTGCTCTCCCGTTTGCATTGAAAACTCAAGGTATACGTACGAGATGATTTCTATAATCGGCGAACTACTTCGGTTGATTTGCTCGCCTTTGTAAGGTGCGCTTTTCACCGATCAGGTCTTTTCCCTATTTGTATTTACTCTGAACCTTTTTCTCCAGTTCGTCGTGCCCATTGATCATTTTCTCTGTTTCGCTCATAGTTTTTGAAAACTGGCGGTTTTGAAGGCAAAACGAAGATTTGATAGAAATCCTCCATTAATGCTTACCCCTTTTATTATCGCAATCGAGTGACTTCATTGCCCACAGCAGTGCGGCACTTAACGCTTTGATGACGTGGTGTCGCCGTATCGAACCCCTTTTCGCATGTGTATAGATCTTTCTGCAAATCTTCTCTGCGAGTGTCATTTATTACTAACTGTTTTACACCTGTTTCCGTAGACTAATGCTTTATTCTCCTTCTGTTATCGAAGAACTCTTTTGTTGCAATTTCGATGCGATCTTCATCTTTTGCTTGAGGGACCAAGGCAGATTCGAAACAACATCTATGTTCGGATAGCGATTCTTTCAGATTGTTCTCGCCATACACAACTAGTGTTTTTCCTCATGGTCGATAAACAGAATTCTTTTCCTGCTTTGCCGATGAATCGAGTCTTCGCGCGAAAAAGGCGGTGGTCAGAACCAGTACAGAATGACGAGAGTAGCCATGGGTCAAGTAGGAACCATCTTTTGTTTCTTAGAATATGGTCGATCCCAGCAAGAGCTGCTCCTTCTGGAGAATCCTGTAACAGAGGCGGCTTCCTTTCTTCTGAAGAAAAAAGTTTGCATGGAAGAGATATGCTGCAGACGGGAGTCTTACGGGACGGCTTCTATTATCATTTCTTCTTCCTGATCCAAAATTTCCGATCTTGGGTTCTATCGAGTCGGCGATATGGACAATGGACGGGGAACGACAGAGCTCACGTCACCAGCATTTCATGACGAGACCTGCTGTCTCCAAATGAAAGGGGTATGGCTGCTCATGGCATTCGTTTGTTTTTCTTGGCTTTTGCGTCTTGTAGGGCCAATATGTAGAATTTGATATGGCATGCGGATAAGGTCGCGTGTGGCGATGTAGTCGCTGACGCCCTGCAACACACATGGGATCGATCCCGTGGCCGTTGTCCACCAAGCCTTCCATCCCTGCGGAGTCGGAAAATTGGTATAACACTTGTCGGGCAGAATAGCAGCACTGGCTCGATACGTCTGCAGGCCACCGCGGGTTATTGTGAGGGCGACATATGCATTATTTCGCCTGCCAACGATGCCCAGTGAAGTTGAATGCATGACGCATCCCTCAGAGATTGATCGACGTCGATAGCGTCATCTTTTCTTTTATGCCTCTTCAAGAAAAGCTTGAGGATCCACGTTCGAGAAAAGTGTTCTAGCATTATAAATGTAGAATAAGAAGCAATATTAATGTCATTCTGAGGGTGTGTGTTCGCCAGACACAGATCCAGTGACACATTGAGATTTTGTACCTCCTCATTGATCGTCTCACCATTTGAGTTATTATGTTACCGAAGAATCGTCACGAAGATATTTGCAAAACTACGGCCCGCAAGTGTCTGACACCGCAGACACCTACGGTCCGGAGTCTTCCAATTCTCTCAGCGTTTTAATATGGTTGTATTTCACGTAACACCCTGCCGTAAAAAACTGTAGTAGGTAGCAAATAAGAACTTAAAGAGTTTTGGGTTAGAAATTATCCGCATTTCTGTTACTATCTCGATTTTGCCTTTACCAGAACATTTAGAGTTTTTAATTGCACAGCAGAAAAAAAGTTTTTTGCTGAATCTCTTATTCACTCACATATTTAGTTTCAATGTAGTATTTTCAGATAATGCGGTGAAAAAATTATTCAAAATGGGCCTGCAGGTTTGGAAAGAATCCACCTGTGTCGACTTTATAGAAGATAAAAATGGTTCGTCCTACATCAACAAACAAATAACTTCCTTTTTGTAGTCACTATTTGCAGCTCAGGACAAGATCGTCGTGGTCAAAGAAGGCGGGTGTTGGTCGGACATCGGGAGACTAGGCGGAGATCAGTTTCTTTCACTCGATGAAGGTTGCCAGGTAGAATTAAGCATTTAGAATAGTATTTTTAAAAGCCGGATACGCTTCCTCAATGTTTTCTGGTTAGTCACAGCATTTCCATTACACGTTTTAGGAAAGGTGTTCTGCGCACGAGATTGGTCATGCCCTTGGACTTCTCCACACAATGACACGATTTGATCGCGACGGTTATGTTCAAGTTGTTGAGCGCAATATAAAAGTGGGCCTATGTAAAAATAATGTAAGCCGTTTTTTTTGTGTACTTACACTACACGTTTAGTCGTCCTTCCTCGACGATTTTGCAAAAGTGGATCCGACATACGTCGATG